CCCCAAAACCCCAAAACCCCAAAACCCCAAAACCCCAGTTAACTAATGAATAATTGAAACTTAGAAATTTTTCTCGAGATCAATACTTTTCTCCATCCAGAAAGCCTCATCGTCACCAAGGTTGGTTTTTAACTTATCTATCTGAAGAGTGACTTGTGAGTAGCTTCTAAAATCTCTTTTATTGTCAACATCAAGGTCTCCTGTCCCTTCAAATGTGAAAAGAGAATAAGGAGCTATAATCACTTCATTTGGATGAAAGGATGGAGACCCATGAATCTCATTAATCATTGCACAATTCCTACACTTAGCTGGGACTCTGATCTTGATGATTACACCTTCTTTAGCTTTCTCAGGAATAATTCTCTTATAAAACTGATCCATAGACATTTCCTGAGGACATACATTGGCAGTTGAGTAACAAATAAACCTGTATCTATCTCTCTTTTGAGACTGAAGGAAGAGGGACTTTCTTAAGAAAATATAGCACTCATACTCCTCATCGTAGTTGTTGCCAGTATAGGAGATGTAGTGGTTGAAAGCGAGGAAAAACTTAATAGAGACACGCAACACAGTCCTATAAGCAGCCACATTCATCCAGTTTGATGTATTTTTGGGCTTAGCATCTTCTTCTCTGCCTTTAATCTCCTATTTTTGACGGTTATAGATTTCCTTTTGTTTGTAATAAACTTTTTGTTTTATTTAACTTAAGTCAAAGGTCTCCAAATTTGTAGCGCAAGCTTAGAAATTGAGTAAAAAAGTTAAATTGGACAAAAAGGATAGAATGTTAAACTATAGTGAAGAATTTAGGATTTAAACTCTCTAAAATCGTCCAAACTTCAAGGCAAATAAAATCCGTCAGAATAGCTTAAATCTTCAAATATCTCACCTCTAGGCTCGAGCGACTGCCAGATCTTTGGACTCTTTCCTGGCTTCTTTGTTCGTTATAATTGACACGCTTCTTGTCAAACAAATGTCTGAAGAATTCAGGGATTTCTCCAGTTAGACATCAATGTAATGAATCAAACAATAATGACTTAATTACATAGTTCACAATGTTAGCTATAGATTAGAAGTACAACTCACATTCAGTACACCATAGCTCGGTCACGAACTGTCTCAAGATATCTTCACTCCTATCCTCGGACAACTTCTCTTCAGTTTTCCTATAAAAACTTATGAGGCCACAGGTCTTTACATGGTTTAAGCCATACTAGAACATTTTGCAAACTAAAATCTCACGAAGCCCTACATCCAGAGGCCAGGCTTGCCAACCAAGACTGTGGAAGTAGACTTTACTAAGCTCTCAGTTGAAATTAAACCCCCCAGAGACTTAGACCAAAGGAGCTAAATGAATGCCTTCAGGTGTTTTCCAAGATCTTTGGACCAGAACTTACCTTAAAATCTTCTTAAGAGTATCGATCTCAGCTCACTTGTAAAAGATTGAGTGGTAATCTTTTACAATATCCTTAGCAGTGAAGGTAAGACCACCTTCATTGTCAAACATCTTGTAGTTCTTGTTCAACCTGTAATAATAGGTATCGCTCAGTTTTCGGTAAGGGTTGTTCTCAGCGGTTATGTCAAATCATCCGTAACGACCATACGCAGTCTTTTTGTTCTTGATAACTAACTTGAAGAGAGCAAAAATAATTAAAGTAGCGCTTTCTTTGGTTTCTGAAAGGGTCCTTTCCCTTCCACTTTCCTCTAAAGATTATCAAGATAGATTACCAAGGCCACATTTGTGGATATGGTTTGCAGTATTGTCCTCCATTTGGCGTCTGACTCTGTACCTCACTACAGCTTAAGCAAGGACATACCTCTTCTCATGATTCTGTCATGACCATCTCTTGGTTTGTCTTCAAAATATTTGTTGATTTCAGCCATGTGATCTTCTCTCGTCTCTTTCTTTGGACATAGCTTTTTAGACACTTTTTTGACAAATTTCTTCATGAATTTAGGCATCTTGAGTCTATTAGTCATATACAGGACAAAGACAGCAACTGAGGCGATACCGATTAAGATCGGGATAGTCACCATGAAAAATTTAGCAACCCCTTCACCTCTTGGCTTCGCTGGAACTGTGCTGTAGAAATCTATCTCAAGGGTTAAAAACAAATTAATGGACTAAGAAAATGTTTACGTACCTGGATACTGAGCTTTTGGTTTCGGTATCGGGTTGTAGTCCCTCACGATCTTATAGTTCATTCTCGAATCTCTCAGGTCATTAACGATTCTAGAAGAATCAATAACTCTGTGACCGTGATCGTCTATGTGAGCTTGAAGAAACCCTTTGGTCTCTTGAATATCTGGGCTATCATAAAGCAGATCATCACTAGCCAAGTTGCTATTCTTCATGGTGATCTCTGTATTCTCAAGAGTTTGCATATTTAACAAATGATATTTTATTTTAACGATCACTTTTACCTGTTAAATACCCTTTATTGGGGTTTTGGGGTTTTGGGGTTTTGGGGTTTTGGGG